AATAACTCGACGCGTCCATGACTCGCGACTTGAGCGCGCTCCGAAGGTCATCCACGCGCTGTATGAATGATGTATTCGGTGTAGGAGTAACTCGAGTTAACCGAGTCAAATAACTCGACTAGTGTCAGTTAATGTCATACTTTCAGTAGCTCTGGTTTCCTGCGCCGTTTAACACACACACATTTTGTATGTACAAATACTTAGCTCCGCTAACCCTTTTTCATCGGAGCTTAAGTAAGCAAGGCTAGGAAAATGAAGTAATCCTATTGGTGGATTCATCTCTGGTGGAAAGGCAGCCTAAGGCTCTCGCCACGACGTCGGCCAAATGCGACTTGTGAACATCACATATTTTCCAAGGTCAGTGAACCTTGTTCGACGTACAGGTTTTGTCATTAATTTTCCTGCACAGTTAACTTGAGGTGTTGTTGCTAATAACAAAAGTTAGCACGTAACTTTGAAATTAAAATTACATTATTTTCTCATTAAAATCAAATTAGATTTTGACGTCACAGCTCATTTTAAAACATTTGACAGTCTTACATAGTAATTTTATCAACGTAAACATTGAGCGCGACAAATGACGTAGAAAGAATTAATGAAAACAAACAATTTGATACATATAAATATATAAAATACAGTTCAATACATGAGAGTAATTAGAAGTACGTAAATGACAACCAATATATTTTCGGTCTCCTTACTTTCGTAAACTCGTATCTTAAAGCACAAAGTTACTGAAGTCCAAATTTCTTCGCATCACATTTCCTTTATATTCACTTACCTGTTTTTACTTTTACCTATTCTTATAATAATGCATCCAAATTTAACACCCTCGATAAGAAATTTAATATAAATAGAAAGTTTCGCCATCTTCTGAATAATCAGTCTTTGTAAGCTACGGGTTTGAGAAAGTAAGGTATCGAATAAAACGTGTAAAAACAGGAACTACAAAACCGCCAAAGACATTTCATATCGTTATTTTTGTTTTTCAAAATGTTTAACAATAATTCATTACCAAATAAACAAAAGAACGAATGACTCTAGAGAGGTATCTTAACGATTCAGTATTTCTCATAGATTGCGCTACGGTTAAAAGTCGTTGAAAATTAAATATAAAGATTCAACAACAAGCACATAGAGAAATTCGTGAGGTCCGCTGGTTCGTTTCGTGGCTTAATTGGTGTAGCGTCTGTCACGGTTTGCTTGGAGACGTCGGTTCGAATCCGGCCGGATCTAAGGAATTGTTTCTAAGTGTTCAATCTTTGTATTAATAATTATAATTGCAACATAGCTTTATCAACTCAAGATAAATATGTCACGGGGAGGTTTATCACACATATACCTACTACCAAACTACGGCCTCAAGTCTTGTTTATCCCTCCGTTTGCAACTCGATCTACCGCGCCACCAACCGCCGTTCTGTGGCGACCAATAAATGGCAATACACTTCCACTTATCTGAATACATACGGCAGATATAACCACCCCTGTCTCATTTTAGCCTGGCGGAAGGCAATAAATCAGATCATCAAACAAAAATGACATCTGCTGATCACCGCCCTAAGCTTGGTGGTTACAATTCCAGGTGGTGGAATTGATCTACTTCAATTCTTTAAATAAATAATCTCAATACAGAGTACTAAAAAACCGACCTCAAAAGTACGTGGAATTACATCTGTTTGCCAAGTTTTATTGACATCGGTTACCGGAAACTGTGCGAAACCGGATTCATCCCCTAGTTTGCCACCCTCAGAGATGGAATATTTTCTTCAAATTTAAATGGGACCAATACTGAGGTACCCTCAAAAGAGGGTCAAAGTTGTTGAAAACAACAAAAAAAAATCCTCGAAATCGGTTGACAAATGCCGAAGTCATCGCGAAATATACATACAAAAAAAAAACATGGAGTTGAATTTAGAACCCTCCTCTTTTCCCTAATCCTTTTTTTGAAGTCGGTTAATAAATACACTAACATTGCATCCAAGTCTTTATAGTTTTGATCACGCGTCACAGCAGTCTGCAAACAAAAATTGTAGAGTATATTCGAGTGAAAATCAATGCTACCCCGAGGGTTGAGCAGTTGGGGTCCCGCTACATGAATCTGTCGACCTTCATGAAGCATGACTGTTGGACGTGTAGCGACGTTTCCAAGACCGGCTACCGGACAACCACGTTGCGTCACACGTCGCAGACAATACGTATAAATAATAATTAGTAATTAGTGTTTGTTATATTACTATGTAACTTATTAGGTACGTATTTATGGGTCTTTGTAACCTGAATACAAATAAATAAATACAACTGCTAAGCCTTCTGATAGCGAGCGTGCTAAATCGTTGACAAACACCAGCAATTTTGGTAATTACTCATACGTAAAACCGATCCCAATGGTGACATCACCAAGAACTGCGTGACAAATTAAATTGTAAATACAGTCGGAGCATGCAAAATGACACAAGGGAAAGATAAATATCAGCTGAACACGAGATATGGCTGACAAGCGAGTTAAACTCGAGTACTTGCCAAATTGCTGTTGCGCTGGCCACATATAACGAAGACATTTTTGGGCCTGTGCTAGAGAACACTATTGTCATTGCCATTCAGGTAAGATTTATTATAAATGATAATAAAAACCTTCTTCTTCTATCGGAGAAAGACCGAGGTGGTAATGCAGCCGAACCATTTTGCCTTCTACCAACACTTCGTTTTCCAGCGATTTTACTTTGGATGATAAGCTGGAGTAATTTGTATCTATTGTTCTTCATGTCGTGGCCGAAGTACGACGTCTTCATGATCTCTCTCTAGCTCTTCTACATTTGCAACCCGGTCACGTCACGAGATTCTCAAAATACGGTGGTAAATCAACATCTCAAAAGCCTCCAGCTTCCTTATTATGCTCTGTGTGAGAGTTTCCAAGTTTCCACGCTATATAGTAGGACTGAGAAGACGTAACAGGGTACAATGAACAATCTTATGCTGAGACTCAGGTTTCTATCACACAGGACTTATTCATTTTGCCGAAATTCGAGCGAGCCATTTCGATGCGGACTTTTATTTCTTGAGCATGGTCTCCACTTTTATTCACCGAACTTCCTAAATATTTGAACTTGTTGACCTTTTTCACTTCTTCTGTCCCAACAAATAACTTTAAGTTATCTCGTGGCTTCTTCGAGATTAACAAGTATTTGGTCTTTGCAACGTTGATGCGTAAACCTATATCATCACCCACCTCATTGACCATATTGAGAGGTTTCTGTAGCGATTGTAGATCTCCAGCGATTATGGCTTTATCAACCGCGTACCGTATATTGTTGATGAGGGTACCGTTCACAACAACACCTACGTGTCTTCTTTTCACTTCACTTTTCTTCTTACTCTCTCGGCATTTTCGCTAAAACATAATATCGGACGCCCACTAGACAATTTTACATTCATTAGTTATTATTTACTTATTTCAAATTACTTTCACATATGGAGTTGTATTAAAAATGTTATCATCTTTTTGAAATAATTAATATATAACAACCTGTCTGTTTTTATTATTTCTGTTTATCTCATTTGTTGCGCTCAATTTTCACGTTGATAAAATTATCGTGCAGAACTGTCAAAATGTTTTAAAATCAGCTGTAACCTTGAGACTAAACTACTTTCGACAAAAATGTGACGTCATGTTCGCTATTGTGATAAAATTTCAAATACAGTTTCATCACTCGAATTTGACAGCTAAATGTGGATATAATAGTTTTATCACGGTGGCATGTTACGGGTACGTTTATGATCCGGCAGGCAAGTCTCATTTAAGGCTGTATCCAATAGCTTTGCATGGGTCGAAAAACGGCTCCAAACAGAACTTAAAAGAGACGGGAGATCTCTAACTTTTGACGACATTTTAAATGACCATTAAATTTCTTTTAATATATTACCTTGTGTTTATTTTAACAGTACACGTAAACTTGAAGGTGGAAAATTACTTAATAATATTTCTGTTTACACAGCATTTAAACTACGTTGTAGTCTTAATGCTTATTGTTATTTTCCTTATGTAAGATATTTAATCATTTATTTTAAAGTAATACGCCATTACCTACCATTACCGTTTATTACGTAGTATTAGTAGTATATTTGTCCTTGTTGTTAACACAAAATCATACTTATTAACTCATGTACTTAAGACGAATTTTTGGTCGTCTTGACATTAATAACAATGAAGCAAAAGAGTAATTGCTCGCCGCCACCTTGCCGCTTGCGCAAGCACTAACGTTAGGTGTTAACATTTTCTATTGTATTTCCCTTGATGATGACACTTCATTGATTTGTTTAAAATCCCCTTTATAAATATTTTTTTGGATAATAATTTGGTTTTCTTCTATTCCAGGTGTGGCCATCATGAGCAAGACGGAACCGGTGCCATCAACAGAAGAACAAGACTAACAGAATCTTTTGTTACCCATTTAAACTTACCTAGGACGCTAATGTATGGATATAATAAAGAATTACTGATTACGCCATCTATTGACGACTTCCATGAACTTCTATATCGACAATCAGGATTACACTCTATTGTTTTCGAAACTACCTAACTCCAGTGACAAAATCATAGTACAATATTGCGAACGCCATCTGTTCTATTCTTGATGAACTAAAACGCTCTTCATTGAGTGAGTATACAATTTTTAGTACGAATACGATGTACGCAAAAGTGATTGTAGTGTAGATAAACACCTGGCGGTGAAAAAGCTGTAATATACACTGGTTCTTAAGTATTATTAGTGAGAGCGACATCTGATGGAGTTATTAAGTAACTGACACGGTGAAACGTCATCTAGAAGTTTACTGTTGGACGATTACGACGTGGATATTGTAACAATAAAGCAAGCGAGCATTGTGTGATTGAAGTTCAAATATATGCAATAAAGAAATACATTTTCAATTGAAACTACTGACACCATCTGTTTGTGAAATACTGAACAAATTAAAAACGAAAGTTGGAATTCTGCTATGTGATAATAGAGACCTGTACCAGTTTCGTTCAAGTAAACCACAAAAACAATTGGCATTAAATTTGAAGATAACTACAGTCATACAGCAAACGCTGAATTTAGCTGTTTTGAATTTATTTAAAATTCATGCCATCTATCGTACGAATTTTGTACTAAGATAAGGTAAAAAGCGCCACTATTAAAGAAGCGCCAAGCTAAAATTTAAAACAGCGCCACCTCTAGGAGAAAAGGGGAAATGAAAAATGAGATAGTCGCAAAAGATGCCTCGATTAAAATGTGCATCGCTGTTGCGTGTGTTTGTCATATTCGTGTTGCTGTGCGCGTGGGTGCAGATCATGCTGTCGGCGAGCAGTGGTCTCCTGGACAGAGATGGAGGTGAGTTCCATTGCTTTTTAGTGATGTAGAATGCAGTAAAATTTAAACGTAAAATTTAAAAAATATATATGTGTAAAGGATCTGTCTTCTACTCGTCCAGCAGGCTTAGCATGAACCAGAAGACAAAAGCTATCTCTTCCAACGCGTCTTCTTATAAGCGTTAAGCGAATTATCGAGACTTCCACGTACACTAATGGCGAATCCGAATTCTATTTACTAGGCAACAACATTTTTAATTCCTCGGAATAATACAATTGTGCGATGCGCGTCCAGTCTCGCCCGCGCGCCCAGGACGCTCATTTAAGTTAAAACCTAAGAGCTAAATATATAGAGCGTATTTTGCCATGACAGTTAGGGTCGAAACACAACACTGCGAATCGGCGCTATGCGAATTCCATTGCCATGGTTTGGGTAACAATTCCTTAGACGATCATAAACCGCAGTAAACGTATTTTCTAAACTAGGTAGCGACATGGATCGTAAAAAGAGTGTTGCACTGCTGTTATTCATAAGAAAGTATAGGAAAAAACAAAGAAGATTGATATCGCAGGAAAGCGCGATGTGGAGCAATTCGTAAGGTCTTGCGATGCGTTGTGGGAGCTCGTAGATTTCTGCTCTTGTGATTCGGCCCATAGGTCGGTACCGCGACCGGGCTGCTGCGCGGCGTCAGCGCGATGAAATTCGTGTCGAATAAACACGCCTTTATGAAGTTCAAGTTGCCGGGCGTACAAATGAAGACAATTTCTCTCTAACCATAGCACGTCAGCCAAATTTTGTATACTTTTGACAGATCGCCGTAGCGAAATATCTCTACCTTTGGGGGCAGAAGACGAGCGATGATTTTTTTTAAATCTTTCTAATTAATGATTTAATGCTTATCATAAATATTTATGAAGTTTTCACTAAAAAAAAACTGGCACGAAGAGACAAGGAACGACGATACGCGAATTTTGCGAACCGTTTCATCTCCCAAAGGCCGAGTTCCTCATAAATTTCATGGTGTCCTGGGAATTAATAGGTTATTTGTGCCAGGAACTACATGAGTATCTAGCTCCCCAAACGTCCATATGTATATCTGTGAGGTTCCAAGTACGTGAAGGAAAGGAGGACACGCGTTTCGGTCACAAACTTTGTGAATATTTGAAAGAACAACAGACAAACAGTAAACGCGATATGGTTTGGTATTTTTCTGCTATTTCCTTTTTCATTGACATGTGCTTTCGACTCAATAAAAATATCAATACGATTTGCGTAACAAAGATAGCTATGTGACAAAATTAGGGTTACTTTTTATTTTCATTGATTTAATGCACGCCATAAACCCTAAAAAAAAGGGAGTTGGAGTTGTGCCTTTAAAAGCTATTACCGGTTTAGTATGACCGCTATAAAGATAAAAGAGAAAACTTGGTCTAGAGTCTAGAGAGAGAGGTCGGTAGAGTTTATAGTTTTTTTAAATTTATTTTTATAATATCAATTGACGGGACGAACGACGTGGGCCTGATGGAAACCTTCACGCCCGTCCATAATAGTTGCACTCAGAGCTTTAAATGGCAAAGATCTAAGGGGCACTGCCATTGCGCCGCAAGTTGACAAGTCCCAAGTGCCTGTAATTTCACCAGCACCCTTACCCTTCTAAACTGGAACCCAGTAATGCTCACATTGCTTGGCGGCAGAAATAGATAAGGTGGCAGTACTTCCCTGGGCGAACTCTTACACAAGGAGCTCTGCTGCCATTAAAGTGCTCGAGGTAGAGAAAGATATCTCTACGCGCTTAAGTATTGTCCATTTCCCCCTCTTGCTAAGCCTGCTGGTCTCCCTTTACTTTTTAATATTTTTGTATCTCAAAGTATTGTCTACACCTTTTGGTTTTTGAGCTTCAAACAAAATCAAGACAACGCTGTTTAATTTTTATTTCAAACCATTTAAAATTTTATAAGTTGCTGTATGTTTTATTGGTGCAGGCCGATCTAACTGTATTGCTTAATCACACTTTCTCCAGAACATTCATTGAGATTTAATCGGTACAGTATTGTTTTCTCTAGTCCAAGCTTTGGATTTTACAGAACTTGATGATTGTTAGTTCGTTATTGCAGTTAAAAGTTTACCTCTCAGCTTAGATATAAGTTAAATATTCGGTTAATGTAACCGAGTTTCGTTAAACTCTGAAGTTCGAGCTTTCCAAAAAAGCAGTACTGTTAATGAATGTAACATTAATTTTTTTAATAACGGTCCATGAACTAAATTTGTCATTTTTCTAAATAACTTCATCGGTATTTCATTTATTTTAACTAATTACTTTTTGACAAGTTTTTTTTTTTTTTAACAATGACTCATTCTAATTTCTCTGAACAGGATATTTTAAAAGGCTTTTTAAAATTCGGTTAAAGTTACTGAAGCAAATTACTTATATTGTTATAATTATTAATACGAAGATCGAACATTTATTTATTCAGGATTCGAACGTCTTCTAGCATACCGTGGCAGACGCTATACAACTAAGCCACGGAACGAACCAGCGGACCTCACGAATTTTTCAACAAACTAGTGGAGTAATTTCACAAAAATAATTGAATGTCAATTCAATACAAATTTAATCATAGTTAAGAGCGATATCTCTAGACAGGGATGGTAGCTGTAAAGTTACCTAACGGGGTGACGAAATACTTTCGCGGATTTCTCATAGATGGCGCTACGGCTAAAAATTCGTTAAAAACCAAATACAAAGATCCGACAAAAACAAGTACATAGAAAAATAATGAGGTCCGCTGGTTCGTTCCGTGGATCGAAGGATTTTTTTCTGAGTGTTCGATCTTTATACTAATAATTATAACAAACTAGTAGAGTAATTTCACAAAAAACAATGGAATGTCAATTCAATACAAATTTACTTATGTTGTTTTTTGTTTTTTTATATCCTGTCCTAATCTTTTTTTCAGTACTTATTGTAGATGATTCTTCATCGACCACTACTAACAATATGAATCTGCCATACAAAGGTTTTTTCTTTTTTTATATTTGTTTTTGTAACTAACCGTCTCTGATTTCGCTGCCACTGTTGTGTTCTTTTATGTGGTGAATATAAGTTATTAATATGCTTTCTCTTTATAATAAAAAATGAAAAGTTTTGTATAAAAAAAGTCATAATTTATGCAATTAAAATTTTTAATATTTATGAACGTACGCTTCACATATCTGGGTACTGTAACTGACTTCTACCATTTGTAAGCCGGCGCATTCCACCATTTGTAGCTGGCTTCTACCACTTGTATCCTTATGTACGCTTACGGAGCCTCCACCATTTGTAACTTAGAAGTACCTCTCGCTACGCATTAGAGCTACGTCCCAGTTACAGTGCTATATAATTACAGAAAAAATATGAAACTAAAATATAATATTTGGTTAAAAAGAAAAAAACTAAAACAAGTCATTCGCTCTCATTACCCCACAGTCCGGGAAATGGGAGCCGGTAGGAATCCCGTATGTCAAATGGGAGCCATTATATACAATCAGTCTGAAACAAAAAAAAATTAAGTAATACAATATTTAAGTTAAAAAGTAATGAAAATAAGCAAGAAATAATCAGTGAATATTGCCATGGGATAACGTGAGCCAAATAGCTCTCTTTACCCGCGTAACATCGAATTGAAAAAGGAATAAAACAGTAAAATCAAGTCTATATTTATTGTGATTTCAAGCGTAACCTCTAAAATTTGATAGATGTGGTGACATGGCTAGTGTAAATACAATGTAGTATCTATGCATTTTAATGCTTACCTGGGATGATGAAAATTGACAAAGTTTATAAGCGCTGAGCGAAAAACACACAACCATCTCACGCCGCGTTCTACGGGGGCGCCCACGGGACTCGAAACTTGTCGAACGTTAACGAAGACATAGGCATGCCGTTTGCACAAATACGAGCGTTGGGAAAGTCCAGTTTAACACCGCTCTCATTACCCGCGGGCTCCCAATACCCACCCATATATAGTTTGTTACTAACGTTTTCACTTACAATAGTGACGAACGAAAATGCTGACATTACTGCTTGGCGGCAGAAATAGGTACTACTAGGTACTACTAGGTCTCAGATAACGACTTCACGCATTAACTGCAGTCGATCTCGGCTACATGAAGTCGGTTTCGACTATATGCAGTTCGAGGTCTCGGCTGCATGAAGTTGATTACGAGTTCACGCATTAACAGCAAACATTATAGTCAATCTGTAGCAGCCTTTCTCTTAAAGTAAACAGTCTTACAATTTTAGAATTATTATAGTTACTATATTCATCGATCGATAGTAACAATTAAAGATAAAAAAAATTTTAACAATCATAAATAACAAAACCTAGTCGTCACCTCTATTATTTACAAAGCAATGCATCTTGTGGCAGGGTGACGTATTTAATTATACTGTTTAAGAGCCTGCAATAGTTGTAGGGCTGGTGATGCTAGATGGGGCCCGCTAACACGTCCTTTGTTTTGTTCTTTAAGTGCCACTATAAAAATATTTTTTGATCTTATAATATGATTTCATAGATTTCTCATAGATGGCGCTGCGGCTAAAAAGTCGTTGAAAACCAAATACAAAGATCCAACAACAAACAGAAAAATTCGTGTGGTCCGATGGTACGTTCCGTGGCTTACTTGGCATAGCGTCTGACACGGTTTGCTAAAAGACGTCGGTTCGAAATAAGTTGAATATCAATTCAATAGGAATATACTACTTATAATATGAGTTAATAATTTTTTTTGTAATCTATATCGATTATTTCATACCCGTAACATTTGGATAAATACCTACCCGAGTTGCTAGTGGCGCCATCTTGTGGATGCTTCTAATAACAACCTTAAATCAATAGCTAAAATTTAGCCACTTAGGTGCTGCCATGAGTTAATTTATTATTTTGCAAGTTATCTTATACACTTTGTTTAAAAATCTGTTTTTTTTTTCACAATGGTTACGTTGATTTCGAAGAAGACGATGCGGATGACTGGGATAATGGTGTGTGTTAACAAATGCTTTTTTCCTGTTGCTTTATGTGCTTTATGTTTTGTGTTTATTTTAAGTTGGTTAGTTTTTAGTGTTGTACAATGTATCTTGTGAATCCTTTGTTTTTAGATTTTCCTATCCAAACAGTAAAATAATGGTAAATAGTTATTTGTTTGGTCGTATACAGGGTGTAATCATTAAGTGTGCCCAGATGATTATTCCATAAATATAAGAGATATCAAAAAGCTTTAAACTGATATCGAAAGTATGTTACCTAATGAATAAATCGACATCAATAATTTTTACAAAATTTTGACACTAAACGCTCCCATACATTTAATATAACATTCGTAGAGAGGCTTTAGTTTTCGTACTGTAAGAGGTAAGTTAACAGATGACAAAACTGATACAAATATAGTAATAAAATTTTAGCTTTAGCTTTTAATTGAATAAAAATATATTGGCACAGTTAATTACATGGTCAAGTGTGAATAGTCCATAAATATTTCTAATTTTATTTTAAAAAAGTTATTGATGTCGATTTGTTCACTGGGTAACGCACTTTCGATACCAGTTTAAAGCTTTTTAATATCTCTTATGTTTGTGGAATAATCGCCTGAGCAAACTTAACGTTTACACCCTTTATATGCACACATCGGCACATTTAGGCGGTACACTAGTAAAATTTCGAAAATAATGCAGTTTTTTTTTTCTTTAATTTGTTTTAATTTGCTAAGGTTTGTCGAGTGGTTCAGGCTGATTTTATGAATAGAACTTTTGATTTAAACATTGAAACACTGTTACAATTTTCATATCTTCAGTACATTCTGCCATGTCAGAAAATCTAGAAAACAACATTTTGTTTATTTATTTTTTTATATAATACTAAGTGACGGGTGGAGGTAAGCAACACGGCTGTATCTAACAGTTGCAGTGCCACGCAGAGTTTTAAATCGCAAAGATCTGAGGGGCACTGCCACTGCGCCCGTCACCCTGAGACATAAGTTGACAAGTCCCGTGTGCCTGTAATTTCACCGGCACCGTGATGTTCACATTGTTGTTTGGCAGCAGAAATACTAGTACTTCCCTGGCTGAACCCTATTACAACCCTTTCACGAGATCTACTGCTACAAAATTGTATATTTGAAAGTTTATATCGAATTCTTAGGTTGTCGCGATTTTTTTTTCGGATTTAAATCGCCTATATTTGTTTTTTTCCAACCGAAATCATAGTTTCATTTCACAATTTGCTTAATTTAGTTTTCTTTTAATAAACGTTGCCTAAGGCTGTGCTAAAAGATGTTAATTGAGTTTCTGCTTCATGTATAATTCTTATTTAATTTGCGTCCCAAAAATGTGCCGGTGTGTGTATTTAGGAGTAATTTGTTGACGTTATCATAAAAATTCTATGTTAAGTAGTTCCAATTCCCAAACCATGGAGTAGCAGATTAATTTACTTCCATTTCTATTAACATGGAATTATTTAATAATCTGACAAACTGCACCAGCTGCACCTTGTCTCATTTTGACGTACTTCAGACAAATACCAAAATTGCTGGTTTAGGGTGCCTTGCAGTTAGTTTATAGACGCGATGCAGTGCTCCAGTCGCGTCACTACTAATTTTTAACCGACTTCAAAAAAGGAGGAGGTTCTCAATTCGACTGTATGTTCTTTTTTTTCTTTTTTTTTGTATGTATGTTACGCGATAACTGCGGTATTAGTGAACCGATTTTCATGATTCTTTTTTTGTTGGAAAGGGGGTACTTCCATAGTGGTCCCATTTCATTTTGAAGAAAATCATCCACCTCGAAGGGTGGCTGTTCAGGCATGAAGATTCATTTTTGTAAATGGCGCCTAACTTTAACTTAGGAGCAATTACTTTAATGGTTGATTTTGCTATTTCTCCAATTCAAGGCGTTTTTGTTTCAATATACTTTGTGTAGTGTCGTAGTGAGAACCTACTTTTATTATCTCCAGTATCAAGTCCTGTATAGTGGCGAACTAGGGGATATTTCAATAAAACTTAGCAAATAGACGTAATTCCACATACTGTTGACGTCGGTTTTTTTAGAACTCTGTACTGAGATTATCATACAGCATTTCGATACCTTCTATGAACATTATACGCTAACTTATTTTTTGAACCTGTTCGATTTTTGTTTTTAGTTTCTTTCTTTTACAAAATTAAGGGAGTATAATATTAGTAACAGAAGAATTTTAATAATATTTTGGAAGTATAGAGTGTCCGATGAAAGAGTGTTGCAGATGATGATAAGAAATTAGAGGTTTTGAGTACTGCCAAATAACGCAAGCTACGGTCATATAATGCGTAATAATAAATACGACCTACTCTGACTAATTATGCAAGAGAAGATGCAGGAAAAGCGACCACCTGGAAGAAGGTGTACTTCGTGGCTTAAGAATCTCCGGACATGGTTCAACCTGAGCACAAGATCCTTGTTCCGTGCAGCTGTGTCTAAAATACAGATAGGCCTAATCACAGCCGACCTCCGGTAGTAAATAAAGTTGGCTTAGTGTGCAAAGGAGATATCGATTTAGAAGCTCTGGTCGTGTGATGGTCGTGTCACGTGCAGTCATGATTATAAGCTTTTTATTTAAAAAAACCGATCTCAAATGTTTGATTAAACCGATCTCAACAGTTTTTATAGAAATCACTAATTTATTTGCTCGGTTTTATTGAAATGGGTTAACTCATCTCTTGGAGTAACTACCTCATCTCATCTCAAATAACTAACTCATCTCATCTCTCGGACTCATCCCCTAGTTTGCCACCCTTAGGGGTCGAATATTTTTTCTTTAAATTTAAATGGAACCAATACAGAGCTACCCCCTTTCCAACAAAAAAACTAATCATTAAAATCGGTTCACAGAAGCTGGCGTAACATGCAAAAAAAAATGCAGTACAATTGGGAAACTCCTTGTTTTTTAAAGTCGGTTAAAAATTACTGAAGCACTACAGAAGCGTCTATTACGAACGACCCTTAAGGTGGTTTTCCATCGAACGAGGAGAGACGAGAATTGAAATCTCGCTGGCCTATTTCCATAAAACATTGCCATTATTAGCTCGCGCGAGCTCACGCTGTCATTGTGGGTAGTGAAGATTCTGTGCTGTTCAGTTCATCTAGCGATAAATACGCGGCTGAGGAACATGTCCCGTAAATTATTAATATTAAATATGCTAACGGAAGAAGAATCAGACAAAACAGTCTTTTATAAATCTCAAATTATACGCACCCGCGATTGGTATTAATAGCCATCGCGAGCTCGCGCAAGAAATTGTGGTTCCGTTGCAGAGTATAATACTCTATGTAGGCAGCAATGCGGTTCAATATTACATCAACAAATATTTCAATATTCGCCTCGCCCATCCTCTTCGATATGGACTAGGAGAAAATTTAAATTTTGTCATACAAATTTCAATCCTCGTCTCAACTCATCGGTGTAAAAGCACATTTAGACTTGAAATGACACGTGATACCATACGCTAAAATGATACAAGTGTGGACTACACAAGAGGTATTTTAACATGATTTTTAATTATACTTTTAATCTTTGCAGAAGAGTTGATGTCCAGCAATGACACTTCGGCGCAAGTCCTGGCTTTAGTACCTCAGGAGCTACACAAGTACCTGACAGTCCATCCCAAAAATTCTACGGGTAATTTTTTTATTTTATGTTTTTTAACATTATGAGTCCAGACCTGACAGTCGCCTCAGTGACGTCAACGAAAGAAGCTTCCTCGGACGACGTACCATTCTCTTCCTGTAGGTCTGGCGCACACCATGCAACAATCGGCAAGTACCTTATGTTGTGGTTGTCTATGGTACCCGCTACAGAATAATAAGAAATATATACAGTAGAAGTGGTTAGTTAGCGTCAGACGCGTGTTAACTTATAGGTCTCGAAAGATCTGCAAATTCTATAAGATCCTAGAAAAATGCCTAATTGTACTGTCTTGGAGTGCAAAAATGATAGCCCTACCAAAAATGTTACCCGTGGTGGTATTTCATATCATCGGAAAGCCTAATTCCGTTTATCGTAATCAAAGTCAAAGTCAAAGTCAAAGATTATTTATTCCATAGGTAAAATAAATTTACACTTGAAAACGTCACATTTAAGCTACTGCTCGTTCACTACGCTGACCTCCCTGAGAAGAACGAGCAAGAGACTCTAGGGATTGCTCTTTTCAAATAAACTTAAATGCTATGGAATACACTTTGAATCAAATTTGTGTGGATTCTGGAGCCATGTCGTCTTTCCATACATCTTTATCTAACACGTAGTCTTCAACTTTGTAATATGATTTTTCGACCAAAATATTTTTAATGTAGTTTTTAAACTTAGGAAATGATAAACTTAATATATGCTCCGGAATCTTATTGTAAAAACGTATACAGTTCCCCATAAAAGATTTTTTTGTTGCAAGAAACGAAAGTAAAGCTTATATCCCTGCAACATGGTCGCTTCTTCGTCGTCGTTCAGCAATGAACCGTTAGATGGCAGCACATTCATTTAAATTTCAATATAATATCGAAACGTCGTAACTAGCCATAATAGGTATTGATGGTATTGAACTTCCAACGATATGCCAAAAGGATAATGTTTAAATTACATTAACAATCCAGAATTTCTTATTTCTTTTTAAATTTGAAACTACGACCAATCAATATCAAGATTTTGTAGTGTCTCAAATGAAGAATGTGTCAAGGCACTGGCTTAAGACTCTTCCATTGTTTTTTCCTTCCGTGGTACCCGCGATACAGGGTTTCCCTAGTGCAGGGCTATAAGTTATGAGTTTGTGCATTATATACTTACATTCTTATTATCCAATAGGTAATATAAGTTGTACATAGTAAACTGTCCTGAAACCCTGTTAATCCACAATTCTGATATTTCAGCAAATTCAACCGAGCATGTCACCCCCAACAACATCACGGAGATCGTCCGATTGATAGAGAAGTACAACGACGCACAGACCATATACAATGAAGACATTTTTGGACCTGTGCAAGAGGACACCATCATCATTGCTATCCAGGTAAGACTTGCTGCTAATAATAACAAAAATAGCAAACGGATTGTCGACTATAAATGTTTTTAGATCTGCATGCTTCTGGGTATGCTCTCACAGAACAATAAATACAAGTAGAAGTAGTTCGTGACCACAATATGGATTGTTGTACGGTATGATTATATCAAATGGAAATTCTATAAAATACAAGAAAAATGCCTTATTATGCTGTTTTGGAATGCACAAATGATTGTCGCACCAAAATTATTACCCGTTATAAGTGACACTGTCCCGATCCGCCTCAAACCGACCAGGAACTGCCTTCAGTATCCTTCTTTTCTTCAATAAAACTCTTTTGAATTTTAAATCTTCTGGTTTATTGGTTCAGGAAGTGGACTGTACATTTCCATAAAATTTAATTCTGTGCCTATCTGATTTATCGAATATTGAATGCGTCTGTACATGATTACAACTGAGACCCTGCCGTAGTCGTCTCAAAACTCGCATCAGCGGGTTTGAGGGGGCTGTTCGAGGCGTCGGCCTCGGAGCGGGTCCTGGGGTTGGGTATAACCCTTGGGTGTCACAGTAGGGTGAGCTGCTTCAGATGGGAGTCCTTCTTTCCCTTTCTCAACCATCTTCAGCAGCTGGTGTCTGGTCCTCGGGCCCAGAAGTACGTCCCTTGCAAGCAGTTTCTGGTCAGGGTGTTAGGCTCGGTGTGGTGCCAGTCCCTGTATATGGCTATACAGGGATTCTCCGCCGCGCCGGAACATGGTCTTGGCAAGGCGATCCACGAAGCTGTCGAGGCTCTCCATGCTCAAGTCCCGTAGGATGACGTCACATCTCACATATCGTGAGGCGTCTGTGATGCACCGCAAGGTCAGCGACTGTTGAGCTCTGAGTCGCTGCCTGTTGCGCTCTGCTACCAGCGCGTACCATGCTGGGGCTGCGTATGTTAGGCGGGATCTGATGTACGTCTTATACACTCCGAGTTTCACTCGTAGTGGGAATCGGGATTTGAGAATCGGTCGCAGGAGTGCGCGGCTGTTCTGCACGACGTTCTTGATGTGATGGGCCATAGATAGTCTTCTATCGATTGTCACGCCTAGGTATTTCACCTTGGGGGACCACTCTATAGGCTGGCCCATCAGTGTCAGCTTCGGTGGCATCTTCTTCGAGTTGCTCGAGACAATGACAATAATTTTCATTTATATTTATACCGATGCGGTGTCTCCCACACCGTACAGGCCCTATTAATTTGCCGCGTATACCGCTCGGCCAATCAGAGCTCATGAATTACTCATTGCTCGGACCGGCCAGACACATACGGCCGTCCATAACACGCGTGGTGGTATTTCATATCATCAATAAGTCTTATTTTAAAACATTTTCAGTTTTCTGTTTACGGAATTGATTTTTTATACTATAACAAACTTTCGTCTGCGTTTCTGCGCCTCCGTGGCCGAACGGTTACCATACCGGACTGCCACGCAGAGGTCCCCGGGTTCGATTCCCGGGCCGGGAGAAATATTTGTATGGCCTACATTTATTTCTCTCGTGAGTTTGGGTGTATTTGTGGTTGTCTATGTGTGTGTCCATGGCACCCGCGACACAGGGTTTCTCTCGTGCGGGGCTATGTTGAGTGTGTGCGTTGTTATTATTAAAGTTAATATTATCCCAATGCGTTTCGGTCGAGTTTTGTCTTTTGGAGAACTAGGTAAAGATCTCGAATTTTCCACGCTAGTAGCGAACAAAAGCATAGTGTAAAGAATGCTTCATGACTGTTTTGTTGATTTGAAATTTAATTGATCGAAATAAAGTTTATTGTGCAACGTGTGCGTTAAAGAAGACATCTGTTGTTGAGAAGATACTACTTTCTATTCATTCAGACGTTAATCGTTCGTCGTAGTCCGGCTACTGGCCGCAAGATGGCAGCACATTAGCAAAGGTATTGAATATCGAGTATATAAACAAAAATAGAGACATGCGTACCTGGCAACTCATTAGGTAAATGGGCGCCTTATATCACTTTTAAATATTAACTCTCGTTTGCGCTGAAATGACAAATTAGAAAACTGAAATAGTACAGCCCAAACGATTGACCTGTGTGTACGTCTCCGTATATTCCAAAAATATTCTGTATTTATTGTAATAAAGATAATATCTATAACACAAACTATAAACAATTGACGACACCCGTCAATTGTTTCGAATTCGGGCTGGCCAATCGGAGCGTAGTTGTCAACGACATAACGACCGGGTAAAGTTTAAATTATACTAACAGTCATTGACTTACAAATAAATGGACGACGGGTCTAATACAAAAACCACGAAAAAAATGTCCCAAGTCAACCTATTTAAACGTAGTGACATGTAAAGGAATATGAAAAAGCTAAAACGTTGAATTTAAATTGTAATGTTATCGCAGTACTGTCTAATTTTGCTTGCTTCGCTGTCAGTCGAACAAACGAAGACTAAAGCGTGAATGACGCTCTGTATACGATTTTAACGCCCTATAAGTTCGGACACTTTTTAGCGCGAACCCGACGTCCATATAATTGTAAGTCAATGCTAACAGTTCAGAATTTGTTACATCTTTTTAAATTTGAAACTACGACCAATCATTATCAAGATTTCATAGTGTTTATTATTTGTTAGTGTACGTTTTGGCGACAGCGGTTCTGGAGGCCTAAAGCACTTCCACATTCCATAAGAAATCGGGCTCATCGTCATTGCAAGGAATGCTCGCTCCTTTTTACGTTTTATTTAACCATACCATACCTGTGTCAACACCTCGCTGTACTCTTTTATTGAAGCACCTCACACAATAGCAAATCGGAATGATAGCTCCAATCATTAACAGTATTAGGATAATTGCTACCATGGACCACGAAATGATCCCAACATTGGTCATGATATGATTATTATTACCGACTTGTGCGGTGGCTTCCGGTTTTTGAGGTGTTTTAGAGTTACACATTTTTATTCGACTTCAAAAAAGGAGGTTCTCAATTCGACTGTATGTTCTTTTTCTTTTTTTTTTGTATGTATGTTACGCGATAACTCCGGTATGTGTGAACCGATTTTCATGATTCTTTTTTTGTTGGAAAGAGGGTACCTCCGTAGTGGTTCCATTTCATTTTGAAGAAAATCATCCACCTCTAAGGGTGGCTGATCACGCATGAACATTCATTTTTATAAATAGCGCCTAAATTTTACTTAAGGAACAATTATTTTAATGGTTGATTTTGCTATTTCTCCAATTCAAGGCGTTTTTCCTCTCAATATACTTTGAGTAGTGAGAACCGATTTTTATTATCTCCTGTGTCAAGTCTTTTATAGTGGCGAACTAGGGGATATTTCAATAAAACTTAGCAAATGGACGTAATTCCACGTACTGAGATTATTGGCACTAATATTTAGGTCCACGTCCGTGTGCTCTATATGTCCAATAACAAACATTTTAAGTCCGTGGTTGGTTTGTTCCGTGGACAGTTTGGCTAACTGTATCTGGGCACTAACTACATCCCAAAAATGGCAGGGTCGCCATGTATGGAGAGCGTACGGTGGAGACGAATGAGACAACTCGATGCTTGATTAATACTGAATATAATAAGTAATAACATAGATGTAAATACATGGTGCTTAACAATTTTATTACAATTCCAATTCTTATACTATAGTTTTTTTTTCTTCCGTGTATGCACTGCCAATATCTAGGTTTCCCGAAAACTAGTATTTACAGCTATTCAAGGCTAGAATGAAGGCTAGTTGCCATACCAGTCAGTGCTTTAAATTACAAAGATTTGGTGTATTACTACAGCGCCCGTCACTCTGAGACATAAGTGGATAAGTTCCTTGTACCTTCAACTTCAACTTTTGTATCTATGGCTCCGTCGTTTTGCGCGACGATTTAGCCATCGTCGGGGTTGACAGACATGTAGTGCGGTGGTGAGATAGATTGCCGGTTATTAAAATACTTAGGCGGTTATTATGCACATTGACGGTTATATATATATATATTTAATGACATTACAAAAATATAATTTGAAGGATTAATTGCTATTCAAAATCAGAACGTTATAATGCTCACATTACTGCTGTCAATATGTCAAACCGCCTTTGTAGAACACAAACGTCAAATAAGTACGCAAAGGAAATCAACCATACAGACACTGGCCCATTTCAAATGAAAACAAACGAAAGTTTTGTTTTAAATTCGCAATATTTACTCTACAAACACACAAATGTTAATACAATAGCAACGAATATTAACTTTTATATCATAGACCAATAAAAACAAGAGATTCATTTGCCATATTGAAAGTTGTAGCCAAAAAAGTAAGATAGAACCCTATGCTAATGCTAGATGGCGCTATAAACTATGCTCGTACACATGGCGATTTTAGCAGCGATGCAAACGTGATACAAACGTGACACAAACGCGATGCACGTTTTAAAGTAATTTTATTTATTTAATGTATTTATTAATTCCGCTTTTAAGTTTACAAGATTTTAGGGGCGGCCAGAAGTAACTCAAAGTACCTAAATATTCTAAAGGCTCACGCACATTATGGCGAGCCGCACTGCACCTCATCGTATAACAACATCGAGTATATAACCAGAAATAGAGACGAAATAAGTGCCATATATTTCTGGTAGCACATTAGCGATACAGCTCTTATAAATATCAACTCTCGTTTGCACTGAAATATAGACGGGCCAACAACTGACCTGTGTGTACGTCTCCGTATATTCCAAAGAAAATATTCTATATTTATTGTAATAAAGATAGTATCTCTAACAATGCCGTGCTGTTCTATTCGGTGGTGTGGGAAAAACAGCAAAACATCCAATTACAAAACAAACGGAATCACATTTCATCGGAAATTAAATATTAAATATGTAATTTTGCAATTTTCGTCCATTATAGCAAAGCTCAAGTTAACTGGTCGATTTGAAGTGATACAGTTGACGACACCCGTCAATTGTTTCGAACTCGGGCTAGCCAATCGGAGCGAAGTTGTCAC